AACCTTCTCCAAGCAACGAAACACACGGAGAAGTGGGTTCAGTTGTCAGAGGCTGAAAAATCACGTCTTTACACGAGCCAGTAGAGCGCTGAACATACCAGGAGAAGCAATTGCCTGTGATCACAACCACCCATATCTCAAACGGCCTAATGAGAGGTCCTTATCTTTCAAAGGACTTTTCTCTTTTGGACAATATTGACCTCTTCTTCTCCAAGCAGAAAAGTTTCTCTGGCTTCAGCAAGAATTGGATCAGGGGTTTACAAGTTACCATATGAAATGGGTGCTAATCTTACATAGACAGAAAAGACTGTATGGCCTTTTTTCCCTTTTTCTTTTTTTAATATGTGATTTATTCTGGTGATCTAGTAAAAATGAAGTCTAGTTAACTATCCAGGCCTCTGTAAGTCTGCCAACTAGTTACTGTGTGTCTCTTATTTTCTACACTATAAAGCATTGCATAGGTTCATCAGGCTCAGTCGTTAGGACCCCCCCCATCACCAACACATAAACACACAGAGGTCTTCCATCACAGTACTCTGAATTTGCAGGTTTTTGCTCAGTGCTATGCCTATAAGAAAATGCTCAGAAATGTTCTGATTTAAGGACTGCATTATTTTTCTTTGTGAAGAGGAATTGACAGATGTAGAATCTTAAATTCCAGGGAAATCTCTTTTCAGTGGAATTTAATGAGTTTTCTCTTTTCACTGGAATTTAGTTCTCAGTTTTCTGCAGAGAAACTGGCTGAAGTTTTAAACTACAGCTCTTACAGAGCACAAAGAGCCTGATAAATGTAACCTATTCTATCCTCAGTGCATTGAAAGGCATCTAGAATATCTGCACATCCTTGGCACAATCTCTTAGCAAAATGGCATATTTGTGAATTTAAAGCTAAGAATGCATCAAAGACTTCCAAAATGCTGAGATGCCTCCAGCCTGGCCTTGAGGCACGGGGAACTCTGACATGGCCTAAAGCAAACTGGCATGAAATTCAAACACTGCCTTCATGAATATATCCTTTCATCTATTTCTGGTGCCAGAAACAACTGATAAAGCCACATCTTTTCACCTCCTATCCCGTCTCTCCAAATTCTAGTTTCTGATAGATTAATTTTCTTATAATTTATTCATTTATAAGGACAGGGCTGTAATAATTGATCCTTATTCCATATCTTTCTTTCTTATTTTTTAAAATTAATGACCTTGAACTATTTACGCATAACAACAAAAATTTTGACGCAGATAGAGCAAAGTTCAGTGCTGTCTTCTCAAAGCCATCTGGGAAGATTTCTATAAATATCTATGGAGTTTTTCACAGCACTGAATTTCCCCATGACTTCTCCAACTCTGTCTGTCTAAATATGCATGTTAGCCCCCACATTTGTGTCAGCCATTATTTTAGGTGTTTTTTTTTAATTACCTTATTACTTAATTATCAGCCAAATTATATTCTGCTTCTTTTGTAAATCACACTGACGTAGGTAGCACTAGTTGCATAAAAGAAAGAAAAAAAGATGTTGACCTTTAAAGGATAATCTTCCAAGCGGATATTGGTCAGTTGGACAGTTTATTGTTAGCAGTGCTTAGAAGTGAAGTATTTCCAAGCATCTTGAAACAGGTCGATGAAACTAAGTATTATATCTTTTTTGCACATGAGAACTAAGAGGGGCATATGACTTAATCTCAGAAGAGAGAGTAAGAAATTCAATTAAACTCAGGAGATATTAGCATTCCTTAGGATTAAAACACAACATGGTATTTCTTTCTTTGCTGGAGGATGTAGAGTTTTAACAGCTGAGAGTTCAAGTTCTTTATCTTACTCTTGGAACTTGAAATATCAAGTGGTTTGTCCAAGGCCCTGTTTGGATTTTGATTGTTTTAATTTCTGTATGTATAGGTAGAGAGCCTCATTTTATTTGTATTTTATATGAAGTTCTGAGCAATTGGGAAGTAGCTTACAGATACACTTTACCAGCGACCCCTACATTTGGTAATCAATGCAGCTAATTATGGAACTCATTTCAGCTCCAAACCCACCAAGGCTTGCTATCTTCATGTATTTCTATTTTTAACAAACACACATGAGCACTCATACCAAATGTGTCTCCTTTTCTTAACTTAGAAATAACTAGTCTCTGAAAAGGAAAATCGGTTGAGCTATTATACTACAGAATAATTTCTTCTTTGTCTCATCTACCCTCAGCTCTTGCACATTGTGTGTTAATGACATAGGAGTTGCACAGGCCTCAATAAAAGGGGGAGGAGCACTTTCTCAGAAACATTATATAGTGCTGTTCACTTTTTTTCAGGGCTTCTTACCAGATTGCAGACTTCAGCTCCCACCATACGAACTCTATCAACATCAAGGTCTCACTCTCAAAGCCTCCCAAGGTCTTTGTGGAAACTGGGCCGGCTTAATCACGTAGCAATTGCAGTGCCTGACCTGGAGAAGGCCCAGGCTTTGTACAAGGACGTGTTAGGCGCACGGGTGAGCGAGGCTGTTGCTCTTCCTGAACATGGTGTCTACACTGTTTTTGTGGAGCTGGGAAATACAAAGCTGGAACTTCTACACCCTCTGGGAGAAAAAAGTCCCATATTGAACTTTCTGCAAAAAAACAAGACGGGAGGGATGCATCATATATGCATTGAGGTATTTTAATACAATATATCATATGAGAAAATGTAGACACTTTTGCAGTTAGATTCAGCAGATCAGAATTTAACCATGCTGATGCTGTATCTTTGCAGATATTCAACAAGAAGAAAATTAATTCAGTTTAAATTGACACCAATTTTAGGAACTTCTGTTATAGAAATCTGAAAGACCACAGCTGATCTTAGCAAACAGGAATGGGGAAGAAGAGTACTTAATTATAGGTGTAAAAGAAGGAAGATGCAGGCATTTTACATAAAAAAAAGATAATAATAATAATTTAAAAAAGAGCTCATAGTTCCTTTAAAGAGAATCAAGTGTAGATAATCGCTTCTCCAGAGGTGCTTTACGAAATATTTGTTATCAGCTGAGGTTTTTCTATGAAGATGTCTTTTTGGTACAAGACATGATTTTTCTTGTTGCTGACAAACCAAAGATGAATATCAAAAGAAATCATGCTATTAATTCTGAAAATTGAGAATGGGATGTTCTAATTATACTGCTGTGTGCAGTGTGGAAGTAATGTGTTTAATATACATATATACATGTGTGTATACATACATATGTTTTCACCCTGAAAATATTTGCAAAATATTTCTGTATGCACACACACCTACATATTATTGTATTCAGTAAATCAAATGAGCCAGGAGTCATAATCTAGCAAAAATGGTTTCCAGAAAAACTACATAAAATTTCAGTGTAAGTTCCTCTTCTGAAATTTTAACATTTTGTAGAAATAGCTTTCTGTGAGCAATTTTTTTACAAGAGGCTGAATTCTCTCCACAGAGGGGAGGAAGTCTAGCAAGTTTGTCAAAATGCTTTTCTTTTTTTCCTTCTGTCTTATTATTCCAAATAAACATATAACTGTGTTGATAGATTGGAAATTTGTTAAAACAAGCACTTTCAGAAAAAATAATTTCTAATGAGCTATAATTGAAATTAATACCTGCAATGGAAAGTACTTCATAGGATAAGAGAAATCTGAGCGTGGGATCTTCGGATGAACCCCCAGACTCTCCACCCTTTCCTCTCATGGTTTCCTTGGGGATACACTAATTCACTCCAGCTGAGCCCAGACACATTTCCCCTTCTTGCCATCTCTGCAGGATAGCAGTCACAGCTGTAGTAGCTTTTCCTCTTCAGGAATAACCTGGAGGGGGTTACAGCACATATTACACTTGCTGTCTTCTTTTAGATAACACCTGACAGTCGTTTTCTTTTTTAGCCAACTGGTGGTTGTGTGTAGGAAGAACAGTAGAGAGTTCAGCCTGTTCATGTATAAACCTCTGCTGAGAATGAGTGGAAAATAACTGAAAATGTTGCTCTGAATTAAAGTATTTCCCTCTTCCCTAGAATGCCATCATACAGTTTATTCATTGAGTTACAGACAGACATGTCAATCTTGAAAAACAGCAACGCTATTATTATTCTAGATCTGTATTGAGTATTGACTGTTGGCTCTACTAAACTGAATATTAATTTTATTGTTTCAAAGGATGGATATATTTAAGATTTGGGAAAATCCAAACTTCAGTTGCTGACATGACATCAGTCTTAAGATGATACTATAAAACACAAACAGGCTTTTGTTAATTATTTTTTTTAGAGGAAACTACTCTGCAATTTTATGTCAAATGCTATTGTTATAATTAAATCCAATAGGAAAACTAGGTCATATTTGGGGAATTTTCCGGTAGTTTTATAATGTTTCTTAAGAAAATTTATGAAGTTTAACCTACCTGGGAGGAAGATAAATAAATAAATATAAAAACACTTTCCTTTTACCTTCAGCCCATTGTTCTCCCTGTTTACCAGGATCTAATGAGTCAGTGCTCTGCCAGCAGGTAGATGGGAAGGCATTCTTTGGTTAATGGCATTTTGAAAGCAATATGATTGTCATAATGACAGCAATTAATAGCGAAAGAGTTAAGATGGACTTATAGACTCCATACAACAACAACAAAAAAGACTTTGTACATGAGCGAATTCCATTTAATAAACTGTTAAATATAACACAATCTTCTTAACTGTTCGTTTATAAAAGTCTTATCACAAATTGAAATTTCTGTAAGATTTTTATTTTTGAGTCTGGATTTCCCTAATTTTTAGAAATTATTTTTAGAATTATATTAGAATTTATAAATAACATTCTAGTAAGCCATTATACTATGGCTCCTAAATGTAGAATATACACAATATATTGTGGAGTTTCAAATTATATAAACTGTGTTCTTCTTTTATAAGGTTGATGACATAAAAGCAGCTGTGACAGAACTGAAGGAAAAAAAGATCCGAATATTGAGTGAAGAGCCAAAAATAGGTGCACATGGCAAACCTGTGATCTTTCTTCACCCTAAAGATTGCCACGGAGTCCTGGTGGAACTTGAGCAAGCTTGAGTTGTAATATTCATATAGTAAAACAATAAACTACTTGTGAAGTTACTGAAATGGGGCTGGGAAAGATGCTGCATTATTCAATCTTTATGGGTTTGCTGTACTTCCTGGTGATTCTTACAGTTCCTGTAGCACTGAAATAGTGCTAAAATTTTTGTTCATATGATTTACAAAACTAATCTATTTTCTTTATTTCTTTAATTCTCTGTGATTCTAAAAATGAATACATGATCCAAACTACATATGTAAGATCATAATTTATGTCCCATTGCCACATGTTTGCAGCATGGTTTTACCTCTGTAGCCACAGAAACGGTACAGTTTCTAGGTCATTCTACATTATTTTGTTCTATAATTCAGAACAGGGATCCACTTGTCAGTGACAACAATATAGTTTAGACACTCCCTTAGACATAAGAGAAAAAGAGACATGGGCATTTCTGCTTTCACCATTTACTATCAACGCTTTGCACTGATTGTCTGGGTCACACAATAAAAAACCCTTGTTATTGTATGGCCGTCTTCAATCACTAACCTTTTCCCTACCATAACGATTACTGCCAAGGAAGTTACCACACATAAATCATCATTTACTTGTTTTATGAACTCTGTGTATAGGCAGTAGGAAGAAAGCTGCCTGGAAAAATGATTTGACAAAAATATATTTCAGACTGCAAGATGCTTGTGTTTAGTTTTGCCAGCTATTGATTCTTTCAATCTTTATTTGCAAGATACTGGGAAAAATCTAAATAGCAGGCAGTCTATTCACCTGCTGTATACATGTTGTTTTCCTATGCAAAAACAATTATAAAATCAGGGGAAAGCATATTTTTAAAGAGACAATTTAATAAAAACAACAAAGAAATATAAGACTTAACCATGCATACTATCTTTAAAATCACTGAGCATGCCACTCTTCCTACCTTTCTGATAGACTGGGGTCACAGTTTATTAGGTTATTCATGCACAGACTTCACTTTACTCATGTGAATTAAGCAAGCAATGTTTGTCCAGATAGCTTATTTTATAGGTTGTCTTGACATGTTAGCTGCAGAAATTGCAGACATGCTGTTCCTTTATCTAGTATTCTTAATCTTTGAAAAACAGCATGTTAGTCCTGGCTAAACCACACTATGATTGCTCTATTTTCTTACATATTTGCATATACATTGAATAGTTTGACTTGATAGGAAATAAATTCAGTTTAGTCTAGGATAATTTTTACTGCATGGAAATTGTGTAATTCTGAGTAATTTGCATTCTCTGTCCTGTTTGCCACAATAAAGCACATGTAGTATGCTGACCTGAGTTTTAAGCATGGCTTTAAAGATGTTGATGCTTCCTCGTGGATTTTTCTTTTGAAACAAACTCTCAAAAGCCAGGCATTTTTTAAAAGATAACTTTGTAGTCACAATAAATACTACTTCTGTCATAATAGAGGCTTCTACGGGGCTCTTAAATTTAATCAAATCACTGTTTAGAGTGTTGTTTGTAATGTTAATTCCACAATTGTTAGAATTTAGAAATTCTAAGGCTTTGGAAGGAAAAGCGAGATGGTTTTATATTCTTCCTGAAATCCAATTCCAACATTCTAGAATACATACTATCAGCAAGGCTGCTTTTGTCTTGCCATTTTTTCAAAGAAAGAGAAGCTCCTTGTCTACAAAACTAGCACAGGAATGTTAGGACTAAAGCCTTGGTGATTACAGGTCAGGATAACTGAATGGATGTCTTTGAACCTTAAATCCAGAGGTGGCACTACAGAAAACAGGGCAGCCCTCCTTAGATCAACATTCTCTTTCTCCGTCCTACCTGAAGGAGATAGAATTTTGTGTATGACATTTATTAATCCTCTCAGGGTATTCTAGCTTGACATCATGCTAGGGAATGGAGATTTTAAGTGAACAATATGTACTCCACTTTTTTTTTTTTTTTCTGTTAACCATATCTAGTTATCAGAAAAAGACCTGTAAAGCTTTTAGCCAGGAACCAGCAATTTCCTGATTGACTGCAGTGGGGTTGCCTAGCACTAAGTCAGCAGATGTATTTTGTTTATCATCACTAAATCATATTCCTTCCTCACTCACAACACATACATACCGTCAGACTCCCCTCATAGTTTGAAGTGGCATTCAAGATAGTAACAATGAACAAAACAAAGGAGTTTAAGTATAGGAAATTAGCCAAAACTTAGAACTGGGGGTAAGGGGACAAACACGTCACAAGCTCTTACCATTTGGTAGGATCAGAACACTTATTTGTTTGGGCATGCGTAACAAGGTGTTTTATATATATATATATACATATATATGTTTTAATCTCCTCTATGCTTCTGGGGACCGCTTTTTAATACTTGAATATTTAATGCTGAGACTAGATTAATTCCTTAATGCACATGCAGAAGCACTGCTGTCCAGTGTTAAGAACATTCTTTGGATTTGGAACATATTGCTAAAAAAAGGATGAATAAAAAGTGCTATGACCAAGGAGATCTCATAGAAAGGCAAGAGAATATAGGGATATTCACAATATCTAACTGAGGTACTTACTGTAAGAGCTTCGAATCACTCCCTTGGAGCTTATCAGTTGATTCTCTGTAAAGGAAACTCTTCCTGTAGTGGATCTGTTGCACCCAAGTACCTTCAATTAAGAAAACATAGTTCCTTGTATCAGTAAACACTGCTACTACTGCAGTTGTTTTGTTGACCAAAACATTAAAGACCGTGAAACAGAAGCAATTCCTGAAATGGCAGCTGTAGGACTTCTCATAAAGGTGCTAAATGGCACTAGACACAAAGGTAGCTAAGAGTTTAAACTTGAGCAGAGATTCATGTGGGATATAAGATTAATATGTAAATAGGAACTAACAACAATGTATAAATGCTAATGCTGACATTTTAAAATGGAAATCCTCACCCTTTTAGGACTGCGAAATCTATCACCTTTGATAGGTTAATCCCACTTCTGCCTCTTGTGGAGGCCTTGTATGGAAAACATTATTTCCAGAAATTGAAGATTAGTAGAAAAGTGTGTTATTAGATTAATATTAATGCATTTGATTTTTGCCTTGCTACGTCATTTCCTATAATAACTATTGGGCTGAGTCACTACCTCCCAAACGAGGTGGAGGAAGCACGTTTGCCAGGCACTGAACGCGCAGCTGAAGTCCCTGCGCGTGGAGCGCGGCGGTTTTGGGAGGCCAGCAGCAGCTTCAGGAAAAAAACACTCGCCTGCCCCATCACGCTGCAAATGCTGTTTGGTGTATTGATCGGGGAAGCGAAAACTTCCTTGGGCACCTGAGGCTATTTCATTAAGTTAACACTTTCGAGAATTTATAATAGGAATCTTTTGAATGTTTAAACATGACCAATGAAACACCATCTTTCAAGCGTTCAAATCACCCAGCTATGGATGGGTGACACTGAACTCCCTGCATTGGCATGCAGCATCCATACAGTTTACACAATATCTTCAGGAAAGAACCAAAAACAGTCATTAGGACTGGGGCAGACAACTGAAACGAGCCAGCATAGGAAGTCAGAAGGGAAAAGAGCAGTGCTAAAATGGCCGCTGTCTCATGGGCCTTTCTGCTCTGTGAAGGCATCTTACTGAAAACCAGGAATGATGAACCCCAAACAGGGGTTTCCATGTGGGCCTCCACATCCACACGGGATCTGGGCCACACTGCGGTGTATCAGGTGGGAGTGCAGGATCATTACACGTGGGTGACTTTCACGCCCACTGCCATGCGAAAGATTCAACC